TCATTAGAGCACACGTCGAGAGGCAGGAAACCTAGCCGAGAGATAGGCGCATAGGCATCATATCCAATCTACCAGTCATCTCTCCTTCTAGGACTGCATCTACGACCTTGTGCTTTATCGGCGAATTGGATACGAGGAACAGAACAACGATGTGTTGCACGATATGCAAAGGCCATGGCCCCAGAAAGCATCCAGCGAAGAAAGCCCCTCGCAAATGAAGCTCTAAAATCTCTAGGGCCCTACTCCAGGGCCCTAGTACATTCTCTCGTACCATAAGATAAGGGTCGTTCATACAGGTTGAGAATCTTTGTCCCTTTTGTCAGGTTCGGCCTTTTCGTACCACAAGTTGATTTCTCTTTGGGCATCAAGCGCACTACTACTGTACTGCTGTACAAGAGGTATCTGTAGCGAAGGGGGAAGAGCCCCCAGGGCGAGGTTCTTCTTTTCTTCTAGAAAACCACATCTACTACAGTACCTAAATAAGATCAATACCTACCTAGGTACCTACCTAGGTTAGGTAGGTATCTACCTACCTAGGTAAGATGACCAAAAAATGCGGGGAAGTTGGACCGGCATCTTGCGCCAAGAGCTTTTCAGCTCTTATCAGTATCACCATGCATACTATAGTACCATAGTACCAATGATGTTCTGATTCTAATGGAAAGTGAGGTCCGTAACTTAAACCCAGCTATCTCAGTACTTAGTACATGTCATTCCTCCCACCCCCCTCTATACGGTAGGTATGATCAAATAATCATCCAGCAGGAATCCGGGGAGACCTGCAAAGCGACCGGAATTTGCAATGGGGGATCACCCGCGTCTGAGGCATAACCCGCATTTCTCTCAGGTCATCGTTAGTCACCATCGTGATCGTGGGTTATACTATTGGGGCATAACATTTGCACGCTAGATCGACCCTAAGGTAAATTGGAACATGTTACAAATGTGTTGCAATTCTTTTCAAACGAGTACCCGTACATACACAAATAGAAATCCCTACGCCACCGATGCGCACCAGAAATGAACAGTTATTTTCCACATCTAACGCCGGGGAACCATGACCCAAATAGTCCAATTTCATACGTTGATGGTAACGACAGTCGAGTCACAAAAGGTAAGCAGAGAAAAGCAGGCGCTATATCCACTTCCCCGACTGTTGGCTCGCAAGGCCTGCTTGGGCCTGGGTAGCCGTAGTCGGCCACATGCTGTCTGACCTAGGGTTATTATTATACTGGATCACGATGTCGCTTTTTTTGACAATGCCGTTGAATGTCATGATCGCCTCCTCGCTCTTCCGCGGACTCTGGCTCTGAAGTTGCGTTTGCGACTTGAGCCGCGTCATCCGCGTTGGTGTCGTGCCCAAAACCCTGCGCTCCGTGTTGCCAACAACCTCGTCGCGATCAACGCGGAACAGCTTGGGAAACCACGTCCGGAGTAAAGGTCTCAATGCCGGCGCCGAGGCTGTGATGAGGGCGAGATTCGTCTCGATAGCAGATGTTACAAAACCGATGTTGGCGTCGGTGCTCAATGATGTATTTAGCATGAACAGGCCCTGGATAAGAAGGACAAGTCTGACAATACTCGTGATAGTTGTTCTAGATTACAAGCGGAATTAGCCTCTATGGATGACGCTCTTTACGGGCATGTTACAGTGAAAACTTACAGGAATCCCAGCAGAAAGACGAACATCAGAGCGATCTTGGTGCGCCTCGGTATCTTCAAGCCGATGAAGATCTTCAGTGGCAGCGCTAATATGAGCATATCAGTGAAGATGTTAAACGATGACGAAATCGTGAACAGGATTCTCCTGTCAATGCATTTCCCCTCCAGGGTAGTCTCCCAGGTCTTATTGATGGGGATGCATTGGAGTACGGTGGCGAAAAAGACCCCAATCATCATGCCTATGTTGGCCATGTTCACCCAGACGATAAAGCGCCTCACGCCTGGCTTTTGTCCGAATAGACGGAGCAGGAAGAGTAGGATCGATGTTTTTACTAGCGCCAAAATCGGATTGTAGAGGATTTCGATTGCGTAGTTCCATACCATGCCGGGTATGGGATCATGAGGCGGAATGTCTTGCAATCTGATCCCTATGAAATTCGTCTTGATAACTTCAAATAGGTCAGCATAAATACTCGAATCATCCTATCACACCTCCCAGGACTGACACATATAACTAGCTGCTGTTTCTAGCATTGAAAATACCTATATAATACACCTGGTCAGTTTGTTGCCTTCGGATAACCGTATGTCGTCAGCCACTTACCATAGCTATACACACTAAAGCGTCGTCTATTTCACATGTCAGCTGCTTATTCCGAACGCGTTCCAAGTTGCTTACCCAACGCAAATTGACGTGAAGACACCCTGCCGGCCACTCGGACACATAGTACTATAAAAGCAAGAGCCGTGAAGGCTATTGTGATCACTATTGCAAGGCTCTGCTGAGTACTGGAGTAGCGGAATGGATCAATAGATGGCATAGCCACCCCTGTGGTGTTTGCAACGGCAATAAGCCTGTCGCGAGTTAACATACACATGTTGAAGATTGTGCTACGAAAACCAAGCGCGATATAACAGCTCGCGAAATACGTAGGCAGAAAGGACAAAAAGAAGTAAAAATTAACTCTCGCTTTAAGTCCATAGCGAGAGGGCTAAGCTTTCAGATATAGTAGTATAGCACCCCGAAGGTGACAACGAGATTGCAGGTCGTTGGGAGATGATCTACGCCCAGAGTTGGAATAGGTGAGCTTTACGAACGGCATCAGAAAGATAGCCGGATAAATCATCCTATTGTATCAGACGAACCGCATCGGATCGCCGCATGGCCGGCCTAGAATGACAATCACGAATACTCCAACGCGCCAGTTGACTCGAAGGCTATCAATTTGGCTATCCATGCTCCTCAAGTTGTCATATCGAACACCAACGAAAATTTGAATCGCCTAGCATAGGCCACGGCTAGGAGTAGGTGAGAGACAACAGAGGTATAACTCGTCGCAACACACGACAGCACGGGGGCTGCTATTTTGTGTCGAGAGTGTAGGCATCTATATTCTCAGTTGTCCTTGGCTTCCAGTTGGATGAGATAGGTTCGAACCTACGGGTTCTCCAAGGGCCCCGACATCAGATGGTCAAACCTGAAATCATTCCGATCCAGATCGTAGTAAGGGTACGGGCGCACCCGAAGAGTAGTCCAACGATGGGATGAAAAAGATCACAAAAAGCCTAATAGCGAAGATCAGACGATGGAGAGCCGTTTACCTCAAGGGGAGATTTCATGCTAGATTAGCTAGCTTGAATCTTCCGTATTAAAGGGGTTTGGGCTTATGTGTGATTTGACTGGATATTGAGCTGCCCCGACAGCCGGCTCATGGTGACGGAATGGCTTGAGGTGTTCACACCTTAACGGCTGAGAAAAAGACCGGGTGAACAGCCTGGGTGTCGCATATACGCGGGCGCGGGTCGACAAAGTCCAAGAAGCACTCTACCCCATCCGTGCGCAAGCAAGGTGGCCAGATTGGGGCAAAGCATGATAGACCTGCAGTATCATAAGAGTCATTTCCGCCCATCGTTGCCAATCAGCGCACCAGGGAGGAACCCTTTCGCAATGGCCAACATATCTCTGCGTGTCAGATTCTGTCGATGAAATTAATCAATCACTCGCTCTCCGTCTGCGAGGTTCTTCATGATTTACGTGTCAATCTGGGGTAGACCGAACCTGCATTCGAGCCATGGTACGAGCTAACATCACCAGGTAAAAGACCTACGATGAGGTTATATCTATTGAATGGCTACCTGGCCTCGGAGAGCGAGACGGAATGGTTTTGTTTATGTCGTTCCGTTTTTCTCTTCGACAAATGATAGCCGCGGGGCGAAAAATTCATCTCACAACTCGAACACACAGTCGGGGTGGCAAACAAAGAAGCAGAACTGAATAACCCGTGCATTTATGTAGGTATGGTGAAGCGAAGGCTAATATTGCGGTCGGGAATTTGGGTTGGTTTGAACTTGAAAACGTTCAAGAAGTTGAAGCTGGCTTGTTTAATTTCCGCGACACAATCCATACTCACGGAATACTTAGGATGCGGTGTTTCAAACCGTGCGCATCCTAGTACTTGGGCCGTACCTGAATTATTTCCGACATCTAGCACTTTTCTCTCTTTACCTCTTTACACCACCCTGACCTTAGAGGGCTCTATAGGAGGTGCACCTGAAACGGACACGGCACGACGAGTATGTATGCGTTCATCAGTTCCCACCTTATCCTATATAAAAAAAAAAATAGGAACTGTGATTCTAACCTAGAGACCTGAATATTGATTATATCCTAGACTCAGCGATCGAATGACCTCTCCTATCTACTTCATCGAGTGAACCTCGGAGTAATAGCATTCTTACCAGATCGCCACCTACAGAGTGTTACCTACCACATCAATCTTAGATTGACGGTATTGCCTTGCAGGCGCCCGTGATAATCCCGAGCATCTTCCTGCTATTTATCTACTATAAATCATGATTTCGAAAATGACTCTCATTAAACCCAGGAGCAGTTCACAGTATTTTAATGACGTTACTTGCTGTATCTAGGAACATTCAAAAGAAAGGGGGAGAGGGAACCGTCTCGATACCCCCCCCCCCCCCCCCTTCCTTCTGTGGCCATTGCGGTGCTCTCTGCTGGGGTTTTAATGTAGTGCAGGTTGCGGAGAGTGCTCGGCGCCATTTAGCCATTCTCTCGGTACTGAGTAGGCGTAGGTACGTAATGGTGTTTTCGTGATATAGTTCGCCGAATATTTTAAAGCCCAACTATTATTTATGAGAGGGGTGGGTAGGTAATGAATGGTATAGTCACTATGGTGAGCTTATCTGTACCTCCCGTTACCCGTCTCTCTCCACCCCCTCCACAATCAATACAATCTTTTCGCCGTCCCTCCGGCTACGCAAGCCCTATTCTTCGGACAAAGTATTCCTAGTGCCTAGTAAACTGCCGGATTCCCATTGGTGAGATGGCCGAGTGGTTATGGCGCTGCGTTCAGGAGAAACCCTGGATTTCAACATGTGTGTAAAGAAAACATCGTGAACAAATTTCGCAGTGGAGCAATCCGCGTGGGTTCGAGTCCCACTCTCATCATGGAAGGCCTTACATTTACCATGAGCTTCTCTTGTAATGAACATCGTTAAAAAAAAGATGCAGGTTTTTTGGGGTTTTTTGGGGGGGGAAGATTCTTTTTCGGTTGATAGATGCAACTTGTGGTGAACTGGTATAGGTATTATATAGTACGTTGGTTAGTTAGTTAATGTGGGACACCTGGCAACTGCCGCCTCACGATACACTGGCATCTGACGTGACTGACCCTTGTCGCCAACTACCTAGGTGTTACATAGGCAGTGCATGGGTACTCGACAGGGACCACTTTAGCAGTGTTACTTAGGTACTACCTAAGTAACCTTGCTATACTAGTACGAAGCTAGCAGCTAACTACGGCTCACGACCTCGCAAATGTTCAACCCACGATAGCACAACCACAATTTCCCCCAGGGATGAGCCAAGCCGAGCTGGGCTGAGCCTCTTTCACGCCGACAATGGCGACATCCGACACATCGACGCTGACGAATTCAGCACAAATCTTCACCACCTACACGCTCCCGCAAATCCGCGCTGTCCACAAGACGTTACACGCACAAATCGACGAGAAATCAGCCCGTCTGCGCACCCAGGTCGGCAATAGCTACCGCCAACTCCTCGGCACTGCCGACACTATCGTGCAGATGCGAGGGGACATGATGTCGGCACAGGAGGTGCTGGGTCGCATGGGCAGTCAATGTGGTCGTACCGTTATCGATAATAAGAGCGCAGGCCTGGGCCGATTTCGTGGAAACGAGGATGCTGAGTTGGCATTAGGCCGGGCCGCGCGCGTCAAGCTGCTCAAGGCCTGTGGGCTTGCCGTCAGCCGGTTACTGAAGGCGGGCACGGGTAAAGACGCCGAGGGAAATAGGGGAGACCGGCTCGTGCTGGCGGCGAAAGTCTTCGTGCTCAGTCGATTGCTCGTATCTAGCTTTGGGAATCTGAAGGCGTCGGATGAAGAAATCAGAAGTGCGGTCGAGGCTGCGAAGAAGAACCTGGATGGATTAAGGAGAAAGCTAGTGCGCGCAGTCGAGAAAGCGCTGCAAAAGGTTGAGGAGGGGACGGACATAACCGATATACTCAAAGCCTTGTCCGCATATAGTCTTTCTTCAAGTTCTGGCACGAGGGACGCACTACGGCGGTTTCTGAGTATTCGGGCCGAGGCCATTACATATGAGTTCGACTATGAGGAACACGAGAAAGGTCGGGGCACAGATAATATCCTTAGAGGTCTTGATCTATACACTAAGACGCTAGTCGATGTACAAGCATTGGTTCCCAACAGGCTACCAGAGGCATTGCTAGGGCTCAAGAAGAAACCACTTCTCGCCGACGAAGCACTACGATCCCTAGAAGGCCTTAGACTAGATATTTTTGAGAGGTGGTGTGGCGACGACATCCGGTACTTCACCCCTTTTATACGACACGACGATCTCGACGGGAAACAAGCTAAAGAAATGCTCATGGCTTGGGCGAAGAAGGGCGGAGAAGCGGTGTTAAGCGGCCTAAGGAATACACTCGAGCACATATCCGAATTTAAAGCCATCATAGAATTGCGGACAAGTACACTACAGCGATGGATACGTAACGGCGGAAAGGCTCGAGGGTTCGATCCGTCTATAATGCTCGACGGCTTGCGGAAAGCCATTAACAACCGTCTCCTACAACTCATAGAAACGAAGGTCGTAAAGCTCAAGCTCGTTGGGTCCGAAATTGCTGCTACGTTAGAGGCGTGGCAATCGGGCGTTACTGATCGTCAACGCGGCCTGTGGGATGACGAGATGCTTAGTATAGACTTTTCTATTGGCGCTGCCCAAGTCACACACGAAGTTGTATCTCGCGTCTACGGAAGGAACCATGCTGTTGCCCGGGCCATCACCGGGTATGAATCATGGCATCACATAATTGACAATGTCGGAGATCTGGTAGAGCAGCTTAAACGACAGAGGTGGGATAATGATGTAGACGAAATTGAAGATGAGGAGGTCATTGAGACGAGGCAGGATCTCTTAAGCAAGGATGACCCGCAACTACTACACACGCGACTAGACGAAACGCTGATAAAGGCGTTTCAAGATCTAGACGGCCAACTCACGACGCTGTGGCGAAGTCGAAAGGATGGATTGGACAATGGACAAATTGCTACGTATGTCCTCCGGATATTGAGGGATATCCGGAACCATCTACCCAAACTCAAGGAAGTCCAATCTTTCGGTTTGGATAATGTCCCTTCATTGCATGAACAACTTGCGATCTATGTGTCTGTAACACCAATAGAGGAATTCACCGCGACAACGTTGACACAGCAACGAGTGGCCGGCCTACCACTATGGGAGGGAGAGCCAGCCTTGCCGACGCAGCCTTCCCCTAGCACTTTCAAGCTTCTACGGAATATTACTGTTTCAATGGGCAATCTAGGTGTTGATCTCTGGACCCCGGCTGCCGTGAGGACTCTGAAGCGCGTCTCATGCCAACAAATTGCGGTTATTGGGCACAAGGAACTCGCGGCAACTGCTCTAGATTTAGATGGAGCGGAGTCTAAGGTAGACGAAGACGGGAAGGACGAGACATCAGCAGAGAATGGCGGCAATGCGAAGACAACGGACGTCTTCATTCAGTGGTTGTTCGATATTAATCTTCTGCGGCGTTATCTAAACCTTGGGAATGACGAGTCGGATAAGGCGATGAAAGATTTGGCTTCAGAAATTCTGAAAAGGACAGGCCTCGACAATGAAGCGGAGCGCCGCCTTGTGAAAGCATCACAGGAGTACTGGAAGAGGACCAGCCTACTGTTTGGGTTGCTTGTGTGATGATACCCATGTAAATGAATTCGTGGTGGTGTATAGTATTTGCATGTTGATTGCCAACGTACAAGGGTTAAGACAGCTCCATAGGAATCTAACTTGGACGAAAGTCCTTGCTTTTGCATAATGACTACGTCCCCACTCGCTGCTATAGTTTGTGCCTCTTTTGACCGGAGGCAATTTTCTGGAACTCCTTCTGGGGAATCCCCTTCACGAACCGATCCAAGCCAGCAAAGACCTCCGCAACCGTCTGCCTGTCGAGGATCTCGCGCTCTGGCTTCCTGATAAGCGCCTTTATTCCCGTCAAGGAGTCGCCGTTGAGATGCTCGCCCAGGCGGTCGTCGATCTCGTGCAGGACCTGGCGCATAAAGGCCGCGTCGTCGCCTTTCTCGCACGCAAAGATCTTGTTCACGTACCCCGTGGCGACGAGCTCGTCGGCGCTGATCCGCTTGCTCATTATGAGGGCCTCGTTGGCCTTGCTAATACCCAGACGTTGCACGAAGGCCTGCGACGCGCCGCCTTCGGCCACGAGTCCGAGTGATGAGAAAGGGGTCAGTAGGAAGGTGTGTGGCGCCGCGTAGACGAAGTCGGCCAAGGCCGTCAGCGCCGCCGAGAGCCCGACCGCGGGTCCGTTAAGCGCCGCGATCAGGATTTTGGGGTGGCTGTAGAAGGCTTGTGTTATGTTGAGGTTGTTGGCAACGAAAGACCGCAGCCATTCCTTGTAGGGGTCGGCGTCAGGCGGGAGGTCCCTGCCCACGGACACGTCGGCGCCGCTGAAGTTTGGGGGGTTAGCTGAGGATCTGTGCTCGTTTGTCTGGCCTGTTTGGACGGATAGCTTCATAGTTCGCGTTAAACGCTTCTTCAATGCTTGGTACATATATTCTCTGCCGGGCTGTCTGAGTGAATCGAGTATAACTTACGCGGAGAAATACCGGCCCTTGCCAGTCAATAGTGTGATATATATCTCGTCGCGTAGGGCAATGTCTCGCAGGGCTTTAGAAATGGCGTAGTATCCCTCCATATCCAAGGCGTTAAGCTTCTTGTCATTGTCTATGGTGATGGTCGCTATACGGCCAGAGTACGAGACCTTGACTACGTCCGCCATTATGTGTTTATGTATGTATGTCTGCTTCCTTCCCCTTGTGCTGGGTAAATATATGGTTACTGCTACGCTTGAATAGTATCTACCTAGGTAGAGAGAAACTACTTAATAAGAGTAACGGTGAAAGTAAGCGAGTTAGCTAAGTATATGTACCTACCTAACCGGTAAGTTTGTAGTCTATATTAGTAGGTACCTAGGTATAGAGGAGCGGGTTGTTCGGGCCCCGCAGAAATAGCCAGGCACGGTAACAGAGCCGAGGTTCTTTTATTTTATTTCTTACTACCTAGGTACTACTTAGTACGCGCTTGCTCCGTACCTTAAGTAGGTACATGTAGGTAGGTAACCTTACTCTAACCCCACGTTTTCCCCAGAGGGGAAGGCCGGTGTATACCTGGGTATGTATTCAACCCAAACTATCTATCTACCTGGGTACCCAGGGGGCTATAATCCATCGATGTAGACACCTATTCATCATAAGGGGTCACTTTTATCATGATGTTTTTCAATGTGTCAGGGACTACAGAAAATGGGCTTTTACCGTCCGTCATTATAGTAACAGATTTTCAAGTGGGAGAATGGTAACAAGAGTTGGTACTTGGATACCTACTAACTGGATCTGCGGACCCCTGCTGAGGTCACGTTAGTGGTCCGAGCTCAGCCATTATTAAAGTGTTGATTGTCGACAACGGAAGCGAGTTCGTGATCATCTACTATTCTGTCTGTTTAAGCTTCCTTTTTTTGTTTAAATGATCAATGCTGGTACGAGGGAGAGTAACAAGGGAAAACGATTTATCTCTGCTCAGTCCCAGGCCGCTGAAATACGGTACCGTTTATTCATACCCAGGTACCCTCTCATTTCACACATACCCAGCGTCACATGCTGTACGCATATACAATATATCCGGGGCCCAGGAACAACATATATTGTTGCTGTTATCCGTACCTAGCCAAGATGGCTTCTCACGGATTCATTCGTCGAAGGCCACGCCTTGTGGCCGTAACCCGCCTCCACTATCAGCCACTACCTAGGTCACGATTCTCCACCACCGAGACTCGAAAGACAAGCTCGCCCTCTGCTGTCGGCACGGGTGTCGTTTCGT